TGCTCGAATACTACGCGCACTGCACTCGTGCCCTCTTCGTACACTGTACGCACGCTTCGATCTTCGTTAATACCACGGGGATTTCGATATTTGTTTTTATTTTTCCTATCCGCTTATTAGTCCTCGACACATATTCCTACATTGGAAACGGTTCAGCACCAGTTTTCCCGACAAACCGCATAACCGCGTACCAGAACTACCGAACGATGTCGGTAAAAGGACGTCGGCGACGGTCGTAGGGCGGCGTAAAAAAAAAAAAAAAAAAAATAACGAAAAAAAAAAAAACCAAATCTTTACCCAACGAAACCAGACGATTCACCTTCACGCTTCATCGGCGTAACTCGTGGGTGCCACCGGATACCTAAATTGTTTTATATCTTCCTCGTTTACACAACCCGCGTGAGACGATTACTAAGCAGCGTTGCGCGTGTGTGCGCTTGTGGTGTGGGCACCTTTAACCGTCGCGGTGATTTGAACACAAAAAAAAAAAAATAATAATAAAAAAAACTAAATAAACATAAAAACCAATCTTCATACCGATTACCGACGTGAATCTATACAATGCACCGCCGAGGGTTTTACGAGTGCACGTGTGCAACGATCGTGTAATGTAATACGTATAAAAAAACGAATGTAACGTTGAACGACACCAAGTTCAAACAAAGCAACGCCAGTAAATAATACAGTAACTAGAAGTTTTCGCGATTGAACGATTGTTACCGTTTGCGTGTATTGCTAATACACGAAGTCGTTACGATCATGCGGTACCTAGGGCATTATATTTGCGCAGTAAACGTTTCAATATCCGTAATACCGTCGGATGTGTACGGAACGAATCGCTGCAGCGGCGACACGAAGAAAACCGTATTACGTTCAAATCCAATGCCAACACGTCCGTGTACCCTTCAACACCGTCCCCCGCGGTCACACCACTAATACCGGTGACATCGCTAGGGATTATTAGTAATCGTTGATCTTAGAAATCAATACGATATTGTTAAACATTAGATATAAGTGTAAAAATGTTTAGATCGGATGACCACATCTGCCGCCCCCGGAGAACGCGTTTTCGCCGTGCACGATATATTATTATTATTATTATTATTATTTTATTCGATCTGCGGAGAGTCGTCGATCGGAACTCGGTGACCCGCGGAGGTCTTGGGTAAACACACGCGCACGCAACGCGAAATGTCGTGATCGATCATTACGCGGGAGAGGCGTTCGTTTGTGTATTTTTTTCCCTCCGCCACACGTTGTTATTATCCGGTGGCCATCGACCTGTCAGCAGGTCTTTCGATTTATTATTACGTACTAATCCGATGCTGCAGTGGACTGTGGGAATCGGATCCAACAACGAGTATGTATGTGTGTATGTGTGTGTGTGTGTATACGGTTTTTTTTTTTTTTTTAGATTTGTTTTACATTATTATTATTTTATTTTTATTATATTAAACCTGATAACTTTGTCGAAATCTATAGGGTTATCGTTTGGACCAAGAAACACAAAACCGGACAGACAGCATAAAATACACACACACACACACACACAGATGCGCGCGCGAGTTTATACACATACATAAACATACATGGACGGCAGCCTTGGAGTCGCATAGCGCTGCACGCGCACGCGCACACCAGATCATTTTTTCCGCGACAACAAACTTTATACGGAGGATATTGAAAAAAAAAAAAAACTGAGCAGGAATGAAACGAAAAGATTCCTTTGCGAACACGCGCATTCCTGGTACTCAAGTACGGTTTCGCGTCATCGGTGTTAGCGCAGAGAGTTTCGAGATCGTGCGTCACGGACTTAAAGCGTTTACAACCGTTTCCGTGTCAATCTCTAATTTTGCCCGCACCCCGCGATGACATCCGACAACAGCAACAACCCGCAGTTGTGTGATATTACGCAAAGTGTGAATCAGTTCGCATCGAATTCGACAGATTTGCATGACGATGAAACGTGCGCCAACAAACGTCCGCCGTTTTATTTAACTCCTTCTCGTTTTCGAGAGATTACGGAACTACGCGTGCAGTTGCAGAACTCAAAGTACGCGTTGTATTATTATCTCGTATCCGGGAATAAAACCAAAACCCGCGAAATAATGCGCCGTTTTCTCACGTTTTTGGGCGAAAAAAAAAAACCTACAACCGGTTGATGCATAATAATTAACGTACATAATAATTACGGTCGATACAACACGACATATATTACGAATACGATAATCATAAAATGTAGTGCGAGCGTAAATAGCGGGTGGATTACAGTGAAAATCTATCGAAAAACTATTCTGCAAAAATTTACGGTTACTGAAAGACTTATAAACGTAAAAAACGCGACGTACACGCTGTATATATATATATATATATATACATACATTACACGGACACACACATATATATTTATAACTACGAACACTCGATCGTCGGCGACTTGATTGTGCGACCACGGGCTACTAGTTTTCTCACGGTACTCAAGAGATGCATAAAGAGGTTCGATAGAGAGTAATCGGGTGAAAGCTCGACGTTTCAGCAAGGTATTGATGAAGACATAATACGCAGCGGTCACACGCACCACGCTACAACCGTGGGGGGAGGGGGCTTTGCGTAAGCGCCAGCGATATTTAATGTATATAAATTAATTTCGCCACCACGTGTCTATAATCAGTTCAATAACAAATCCACGAAAACGTAGAATTTTTTTTCTGCCCTAAAAAACGGATGATCGGATTCGATACAAACATCTGTGCAATGGTCGCGGTACACAGTATTTCGTCATCTTATCACCTTCGTAACGTGGACTGAACACGCAAGAAAACACCTATGAAACAGAAACGCTGAAACTGAAGAACGATGGTGTTCGCACGCACGTTTTAGGCCATGAGGCCGCTAAAATACTGATAAGACATAATTAAACAAGCACATTTAATCGAACAATTTTACGAAGACGAAATAATGGAAAATAAAAGAACGCTTGAATTAAAAGAAAAAGAACTGTTTAATATTTATCGTTCGTAGGAATGACGTTAATCTTTAAAAAGTATCTACACATTTTTTTGAACAGTTAACAGTCGTAAATTTACATAATAAATTTGTATATAAACAAGAAAAAAAATTTATGAATCGGTATAAATGTTGAGTAAGTGAACATTTTTCCTCCTATTTCATAAACCTCTATACATGCATAAATGTTTCAAAAATAAAATTTGATCATCTCGTGTTTCGCAGGCCTAACCTAATTTCTAGCTTTGCCTGTCTCGTTATTCACAGTCCCCAGTTTTTGAACTGTACACTATATTTCCGATCATTCTGCAGTGTGAATTACGTACACATACACGTACATGTTTGAACGTCCATATTGTATAATACACCATGAATCACGCTGTATGTACGCGCGCAGCGCACCATTAAATTAGTATATTATTTTTATTTTTTTGTCGTCGTTCCGACGTACGGTATCAATGTTTTTCTGCCTATCATCGTCGTGGTGCCATGATGAAGCGGCGTTCTCGTTTTAGTATCGTACGCAGTGTTGTAGTGGTCCCGGTAGGTAGGTAGGTACATTCTCACGGGCTACTTCGTGTGAATCCCACTGGTTTTATTTTAAGAAAATTGTTTGGTATTAAAAATAATAACAATAATCACGGGGGATGGACGGTATATTGTAACACGGATAATAGCGCGTGTAAAAGATAACGTGTGGTGAGAAAAATGAATGTGACGATTAATTTTCTCAATAACTAAATAAGACATTTATTACAGTGGAACCTATAACGTACGACTACGGATAATACGAACGTCTGTGGATGGACATTTTACATGGTCAAGTCAAGTCATACTTGTACCGGTAGGCGAGGAGCAGAAACTTGCTTAAAATAGTATCAATAAGCATTACCTTGCTTGGACTGTTTTCATTTAATCTAACCAAAATAAAATTGTAACTTCCTAGTAAAGACTTGATTACAATAAGGCACGTGAACTGGTATCATATATATTATAAAAACTAATCGGTTTTATGGCTAAAGACTCGTAATACATTCATTATACCGCAAGTATAGGTTTGGTAGAGTTAAAAGGTCAGTGTTATCGTAGTGTAAGGAGAACTAATAAGGATTTATAAAGAATGTCACTTGTAATGCAACCAAAAGAAATCGACTTTAACGGACAGATAATCACTTTCATCGTAATATACGTTAAAAAATATTTATACCGGCTCAAGTCCTCGTCGTATACAAAGTATGTTTTTAACCAATCATATCGCACCGTTCCGATTCTTAATTAATAATAAGTACCTTGAATTCGCACCTGCAATTATTATGAAACTGCAGCGCAGAACTAAAAAAACATTAAATTCCATTCTAATTTCGTAGAGTATGCATTACTTCAATCGTTTTAGAATTGTGAGATTAAAAAAAAAACCGAGAAATTACTAAAATAATTTTAAAAATGCCGTTAACTTAATAATAGTTCACATTTTTTTTTTCAAATTTACAACTAAAAAAAAATTGTTATTACATGGAGTAGTAATACAAACGTAGATTAAATTCCGTTCTAATTTACGTAGATTTACTGTTCGACGTGTTGAAAACTTCAAGAGGTGATACGGCTGAAAGCTATACTGAAAAAGATCTCTACTCGAACACCCTGGTGCGAAGATGTATGTGCGTGGTACGCAAATAAAATTCTTGTACTGTACTACGTGTGCGAGTATATGTAAAAGTATCGTTTGCAGAAACGTGGGAGTGTACTTAAACATGTAACACCCTATGGTTCGATTGGGTAAAAATATATAAATTTTTTTACTGGTCGTTTCATGCGCCCTCAACTATAACCACCACCCGCTCGGCGGCAAAAATTAAAAAAAAAAAACCCGTTGTATTTGCGATTCGAGCGCTGCGGGAGACCATACAAATGACACCGCCGCACAAGAATAACACATAAACGAATGATAAATTGTTAAGCCCGCTTAAGAATCATACGGAACTGCATTTACTCACCCATGTTAGCGGTCATGGCGTCCAGATCTTTGGGTTTACGCTTTCTGGGTCGACCCTTCTGCCGGGGTTGCGTGGGCGCAGGGACGGCAGCGACCGCGTTACCGGTCACGACGGTGGACCCGTTGAAGAACACGCCGCCACCACCACCACCGCCGGGAGACTCTAGCGGCCTGGACGACGGATACGGCGACTGGACGGGCGTCATCGAAAGCGGTAGAGCCCGGTGCAGAGGCGACTGGTGCTGGACCAGCGACGGAGTGGACGACGGCGTGGACGAGGCGGACGCGAACTGCTGGTAATGGTGTTGGCAGAACACCGCTCCGTCGCGCATGCCGAACTGATCACCCTTGGTCAGCACCACCATGCACACGGTGCAGCTGAAGCACGGCACGTGGAACACAGTGTCCCTGGCGCGCATCACCAGCTCCGACGGTGAAATGGCCGCCTGGCACCGGCCGCACCGACGTATCCCGAACAAACTGTAATACGAAAAAACGTCGTTTAAATATTTGACCGCGTACAAAACTACTCCGGCCGATTCGTCCCTGTGCTTCGCTTAGGAGCAGGAGCAGACTGGCAAGGGAGACAAAAGGGCGATCGCCTCCCGGGCCCTCGATAATTGCATATTAATTAACAGTGCACAACATGTTATGTTAAAATATAATGGTAAAACACCAATCATTTACTGTTAGAATATTCGAATTTGGATGAATTGAGCACAATAAACTAAAAATATTTATTAATTAAAATTTAATAATAATAGGTCCAGTTTACTCCCCCCCCCCGGGGGGTCCTTGATACCCAGTCCGCTCCTGCCTAGAAGGTTTATTGCTGGTCCGGTGAGTATCATTAATTGTTTGGACGTAAAGAGAAAAAAATTAAGATCCAAAAAGCGTACCGCCATCGCCTTCGTATATTCCAACGGTGTTTATATTATTATTTGTTTTCGTACTACATTCGTCTACGCGTTCGGGATCAAAAAAATTCTCGGCAAACAGTATTTGCTCCGGTGCATTCCGATGAGATTTTCATCTTCAGTGTTACGCGAAAATCAGATGTACGGACGCGCAACCGAAATTAAAATTACATTGTTAATCCGACCGACGGCGTTGTGAAGGGGCTCGTCGTACGAATGAACATGCCGCATGATTTCGAACACGAGTCGAAGTGAAACTTTTGCGTCCTCGACTTTGTAATAACGTAGAGCTGAGCAATAACGTGCAATAATATTGTATAACATACTCTTAATATCGTACGAACAGTTCCCCATCTCTGGGCGTACGCGTGTGTAAATGTCGAAACACCGTTAACGCCGTTTTTCACAGTTGACCGTTTGTTATTTCGATTCGTCGTCATAACATAAACCGCCGACTCGTGAGCAGTACGAAGTTTACGTTGACCAAGGGCGCGTGCGTGCGTAGGAAATGCTGCGCGTACGAAAAGGTGGTAGCACAGCGTGTGTCTTTGGTACGGTAACGGTAGGGGAGGAGAAGCCGCTGCTGCTGCGACCGTTGGATCTTTTTCGCACCTCCAGTGTGGGCGTGGTCGGGGCGGTGAAGTCGTACAAAAGGGTCCGTTGGGAAAAATACACCGAAACTCGCGTACAACTATATTACGCGCTACACGTTCTACATAAACACGTATACAATATACACATCGACGCCGTCGTAATCGCTGGTACCGCCACCGTCGGTACACACTGCTGCTGCTCTCCCTCACCCCCGGGGTCCGCGGAATAATAACAATAATAGTAAAAAAAAAAAAAAAAAAACAATAATAAAAATACCTCAGCGGGATACCGACAATACCCGCCTTCCTTCCTATACACACACGCATATAAACTATTACCGGAGGTTTACATTACATCCCCCCGGTGAGCGTGCGCGCGCGCTCGTCAGTATGTGTTCCGGTTATCGGTTCAATGAATGTATAGTATTCACCGTGTTTCTGTTTGTTACACTAGTGTTTATCCCGTTCCTACAATGTTTAACTGTGTGCAAGAGCGCGTATGTGTGCGTGCGTGCCGCGTCTTTGTTTTGTTTGTTTATTTGCGTAATATAGAATATATATACAAATGATTGTTATCCGTGCACGAGAGTGTGAACGCGAGAGAACAAAAAAAAATTACACCCGGGGGTATGCGTGCGCGCTAATTTTTTTTTTTTTTAACGGTACACGCCGAAGACTTTACACAGACGACTATATGGATCCGCTGATTCCACTTATGTCAAAACCACAACGCACACAATACGTGTACATGTGTGCGCGAAGAAAAAAAAACGGTCCTGTTAAACAACCGCTGCCAATATTCGGTAAAACGTTGTCTGGATCGAGAAGATATGTAGAAACCGTCGCCGGTCGGCAGTGTAGACGTTCCGGATTTGGGCGAGTAAACGAGACGGAGGGAGAGAGAGTGAGGGAGAGAGAGATGAGAAACGCACTCCTTCGTTGTGGCGAAATCGCCCGTTCGCGAGCATTGCGAAAAGAATAAAAAGATTGAAGAAAAAAATCGTATTAAGCGTGTAGGGAAAAGGATAAAAAATAAATAAAAAGATAAGAAACCGTCGAGGAGACGAGGAAGTCTCCTCCGTCGGCGCATTCCACGCGCGCAATTTAAAACGAATGAAAGACGACGATTATTATGCGCGATACGTGTTACGTGTTATATCGGACGGAGAATCCGAGTGTACGGCTATCGGCGTAATCTTGTAAACGCGGCGGACGCACGGCAGCGTTGGTGGTAGCATCCGTGTGCGGCGGGCTCGCGATTTTCGCCACGACTCGAGGACAACAAGCGCGCGCGCTGAGATTCAGGTAATAATATACGTATGATAGCCGATTGCGATCGTGTCCCCGTGCATGTTGCAGCCCCATGTACCCGCTCGACGACGACCGCTTTGGTTCGGTTTTCGTGTTTACGTTTTGTTCGATATCCGTACGGCACGTATATTTACGTATATAAATGCATGTTTACGTACGTGTTTTATAATATAATTCGCGTACGGCTTATGCCGGGCGGCGACTCGGTGCAGCAACCTTGGTTCGTGCGTCGAAACGCGCAAAACCGGTATCGTACCCACTCCGCCGTGCAGCCGTTATCGCGTCCGACCGATCGGTCGAGCGCGCCGGAAAATCTCGGGGGAAAACGACTGCGATCTTTACACTTGCGCGGGGTCCTTGGGCCGAGGACATGTTCCGTGTGAACGTCGACCGCCCCGGTCGAGTCGGGTCGGGTCGTTATTAGGTTAATGTAAAAATTTAAGAGTTTCGTTCAAGTGAATTATCACAACGATGGTCGTGTCATTTCTCCTGGCAGACATAGTTGCGGTTCGCGTTGGACCACGATACGAAGGTCGCGCACGGTTTACATATATTTTCTCCGGGCACCATTTTGCTTGTCCTCGTTCCGTTCGATTTTTTTCGCACTCGATAACGATCGGCGTGTTATATAAGGTGTGAAAAATTATACGTCCAATATCGACGAGTCGTTATACACATCGTAATACACGCGCATAACTACGCCTCGATGGAGGAGCAAAGAGAACGCGGCGGAGAGTCGCCGACGAACTGTGTCGCTGCGGTTACCGGAACGGTTCGGGCGGGTTGATTCGCGAGACCGTGAACCGGGTTAGGTTACGAGGCACTCGTGAATAGGCACTGGTCGCGCGGTAGTGCACGCGTACGGCGTACGTTTCACGGTTTCGGTAAACGCGTACAGAGAAACGCGACGGGCGCGCGCCGAGTTCTCTTCGCAACGTCTCGAATTCCGCACAATGACATCGCGGCGGTTGAACACGGTTTGATGCGCAGCCTCGGAGAGCCGACGCGCAATGTTTACCGCGTGTTGCGACCGATTCGATCGGACCAACGGACGCACGTGTTCCGGCAACCGCAAGGGCGTACGACTGCGGATCGCGTGAAACGGCGCCCGGAAAACCTGCGCGTACGAGATCAGCGGTTTCGCGAGTTCGGCGTAACGTTTAGCGGATTTTTGTTTTTTTTTTTCTTTCTTTACCGTAGTTTTTACAACGCCTGCGAAGGATATTGGGGACGTACGCGCGTTACCGTCCACGGGGACGTGGTATTTGCACGCAACAACGGCCGGAAATCCGTTTTCGAGCGGACGACACGCGGCGACGACGTTTTTCTCAATACCGCGCGCGCGAGACGATGATGTCTCCTTGTTGCGCGAAGGCAACAACACAACATCGAACATTACGTGTACTGCACGTGTAGAAGCAAAACAAAAACGCATTGTTCCAAATATATTATTACGACGGTTTCCCGTGTTAATTAGGCGCGTGTAATAAATATAAAAATGATAATATCGTCCGGACCGTTTCGAAAAATCATTTTCATACGCGCGCGCGCAGCCGTCTACGTAATATAGGTGTACATCATATTATATATACTTCTCTCCGCGCGCGGTTCTCACTCTTCCGTCTCGGTGGTTCCCCATTATCTCTACATAACTCGCCGTCGTAATAGATAACATCAACGAGAGATTCACACGTATATACGTGAGCATATCACATACCTCTGTTATTACAATATTTATATGCGTATATATTATACGTACACGAAAAGAGAGGGAGGTAACAAAAAAAAAAAAAAAATTAAAACACGCACAATACATAAAAATAATGTTAATAAAATAATAAGAACAAAAAAAAAATAAAAAAAATACGCGAATTATTCACCGTAACGGACGAATGTGCAGTAAAACGTTTACGTGTGATACTGTTTCGGTCGAAAGATGCACACTCGGTACCATAACATCACGTGTGCATGCACCTCGGTGAAATACTTTTTTATTTTTCTTACCTAGTTCCAAGACGGGTGTAATCAAAACTGTTCATTATAATATTACAATATATTTGAACACCTGGGCAAATTATTCATGCACACGCGTGTATATTACAAATGTGTACAGTTTAAATAATAATGAACGGTTGTCCGTTTGAAAATGTATAACACCATAGCGTGCACTTCATATTATTTTCATATTCGACGGGGTTTAGAGAAAACGAAACCGATTCGTAACGTGTGCATAAACATACATATGTATATTAAAATTCGTGTTCTGTTAAGATTCCCGCACGCATTTGGAACGTTATCAATTAACTCTCAGTTTTCACATTGTTCTTCCGTTCTGCGAACATTATCGAACACATGTTTCAACGGACGAAGCTCTTTCGGACCAGTTTTACACGAGTAGAACATACATTTGTGGCATTTTCAAGATTCCACGGCGAGGTCATAATTATACTTTGAGTTGCGGTGCAGGTAAAAATATAGATGATACCGTAATAAAAACGAAACGCGAACCCGGGACGATCGCACATCATTGGCCTGGAATACACCGGGCGACGGCGGACAATCGGAAAAACGAATAGCATACGGCCGTGCAGTAGATAAAGATCTGCGCGAACAAGGGCACAGGGAACGGATCGACCGGCAGTGTTGATGAGCCGCCTAT